TGTTGCGATCTTTTGTGAGCATAAGTTGTAAAGAACTTTTCAAAATGTCCAATGCATGACCATCGTGTCGAAATGATATTCCTGCACTTTTAGCAACACTCTAACAAACTGTTTCGATGTTTTCTTGTGTTCAACGACAGCCAAAGATCACTAATTAATCCAATCTTCTTATACTTTTTTATTAATCGCTTCACTGTCCGTCAAATTCATTCAAATCTTGCATTCATTATGGGCCACCCTGTATTATATGTTAGTTGTATTCGGCGGAGATTAATCTTCTATCGCGCTTCGAATCTGATGCAATTACAAAACATTTTAAGACATCAAAGAAAGTACTTTTTGCAGAGCTTAATAAATGAAATATGCACCATCTCGACCTATAGAAATCTTACGAGGCCCACATCTTCAACTTTTATGAGCTGCTAGTCTGCTAAACATGATTGCATCAATTTGATTAATTGATAATCAGTAGGTGCCAGTTGGAGAGGATAACCAGCAATCGGAAAAAGTTCCCAGCCCGAATTGAAGATCACTTCCAGGGATACATTTGCTGGCGACAGAGGCTTGTATGTGAATGTCGGTCCTTCTGCTTGGTTATTATTCACAGTCCACCGTTAAGTACCTTGCACCACTTCGCTTAGTACAGTTGGTCACACAATGACTTTTCAATATAATGCGTTATACTGCAAATACTTAATCGATCGGTTGCATACATCCGCGCAAACTTAATATACAACAATATATATGCAAGAAAAGCGTATACAACGGAAGGACTCTAAAAAACTTCCCTATTAGCGCCTTCTTTTCAAAGAGTTTCTATACGCCGATTAGCTTAAGCCGATGATGACGTTGAAATGAATCAGTGTTTCATGTTTAAGGTTTAGTGGATTTTTAATGGCGATCTATCATATAAACTATCTGAATGTTATAAACCTTTCTGATTAACAAAATCAAAAGGTATTTATGGTTATACCATGTGTGAATACCTTGACTTTAAAGTTGACTTTCGTACAGATGTGCCGCTTCGGGACATTCAATTTGAATTTGGAATTCCCCCTCAAAAAAAAAGAATTAATATACTTACCCAATTTGCGACATCGCTGCATTTCCGCATGTATTTTATCCGCTATCAATGAATTGGACTCTTTTTGCCCGTCTTCTTAATCTGTTAGGTTACTGATAAAGTCGCCTATCATTTATGGTTTCGTCTTTAACTATTTGCCTAAGATGATTTTCGATAAACGTAAAAAAATTCTTTTTATTTCATATACATTTATAAATCGCATAAACAAAATCGCACGAAATAAAAATATATGCGCATAAAAATATATCGAAGGAAAGCAAAGTTTAACTGATATACATACACTGATATGTGCGATATGCTTATTATTCACGACTGAAGACTGAAAGGAAAGCATTCCATTTCCAAACATGGAATTGAGATATATTTGAAAAAATGTTAAATATTTTTCTAATTTTGTTAACTTATAAATTTTTATACTCGACCATACATGTAAATGAAACAATTATTTTTTTATAAACAAAATTATGATAATATAAAGAAAATATTTCAATTTTTCGTCTAAAATATAGACCATGAGCATCGTTATATGAACGCATGATTCACTGAACTACATACTCAACTATGTGTCATAGATTTATTTATAAAAAAAAATTATAAAAATTTTATTTCTCCTCGGAAAATATACAAAAACAAAAAGAAGGAAACCGAAAATAATATTTACATTAACTGTACACACACACACACATATATATATATATATATATATATATATATATATATACATACATACAAACATACATATATGCATAGATCAGATGTACATCAATAGTAGCGATCAGGCAAAAAGGCCCCTCTTTTTCAGCATATAAATACAATACGAACGAAAGCAAAAAAGAATATTGAAAAGCACACGCGCATATGCAGTTTGTATATTCAATCCGTGCGTGCGACTAAGTATATTTAACCAACACACCTTATTTTATTTTAAAGAATTTGATTTACACAAATTTCCAATGAAATGTTATGAAAATAATTTTCATATTTTCAAAATTTATTTCAGAAACTGATAAAACATTTATTTATTACAAAGAAATTGTTTTCTCTCTCACAATATAAATTTTACCTTTTATATCGCATTGATAACCAAGATTTGATGATATATCATTTTTGTTATTCTATTTGTAACAATCAGAAAAATACAGATAAAAGATTTTCTAAAGTAAACGTGGCATTTTCATTAATTCTCAAAACAATGTCTATTCTTTTCATCTATTATCTGTTGTTTGCGATTCCTATTATTATTATTTTTTAATTTATTGATAAACTTGATGAAACTTGTTGAGATTCGCTTGTGAACACATTCGTTACATTTTAAAAATTTTAGGAAACTTCATAGGAAACCGGTAGGAATGTCAAAAAATATATGAGAATTTAAAGGAGATTTTGATCTGAATTAATGACTCATTTCAAAGTGCGATGCCAGCTAACATATATATACAGTCAGCAAATGTCTTCTGCGATAGGTATTCAATATTCATTGTAAAAGGTCTATAGATGTTCTTTTTCGTTACGAAAATCAATGCAGGAAATTTTTCTTTTCCCTTTGCGTTGCATTTTAACTTATACATTTTTTTTAGGTCATATTTCTTAAGAAAGAAAATTTTTATTTGAAATATAATTTAATTTTTATGGCATTTAATTAAAAGAATTTGCATGCAATATTTTGCAATGCATTTCGTTCAGATGCCTATGAAACGCGTATGCACTCAATTTAAACGAAGTATAACAGAATTTGGAATTTTTCATATAATACAATATTTAATGTTTTGACAGCTGGGAGGTAAATTGGCTGCATGCCATTATTATGCTCTCACTCAAGCATTAAAAACAATTTCGATGAGCTATGAATAGATTTTTTTTTACGTTTCATTACAAGAGAGTATAATTTCAAATGGAAATGATGTGAAGAAATTTTAATTGAATATAATTTTTATTCATTCCAAAGCACCTTTTATGTTAATTATGAATTCTCTCTTATGTCGCTACCTCCTCTACCAACGCAACGATTTTAATGCTAACTTATACTGCAGAGCGAGATATATCTTAATAATAAAAAAAAAAAAAAAATGATATGCGCTTTTCCATTACTCCATGCACTAGATACAACTTCATATAATTCTTTCAAGTTTCAAGTCCTGGTTTTGTATAGGAATGTTATTAAGTTTATAGACGCAATTTAAACTATTTTCATTGCAAATTCGCCTCACATAGACTGCGTTAGGTTGTAAAGGTAAATCACGCCACAAACTCACAACAGAGTTGTGTTATAAAACGTTTCGTTCGAGACTAATAAAAGCTATACGTGGATCGAGAAGATAAGAATCGCTATTTTGATATAAAAAGAATATCAATCATCGAGGGGGCAAAATAGCCTTACAACAGAACCCTGCTTGACTTAATGTCTTCGTGATTTTTATCGAAATCATTACAAGCACGGCCTTGTTTTACATTCTTTTATAATTATCACGATCCGTTTAACAAAGTCGTCCTAAGCATTCTCCTCTTCTGCTGCATATTGTAGGCCATAAATTCGTTTGATATACAAATCTCTTGCAACCATCTGCTATTGGCAGACACAGCTTGAGCTTCTACCTTGGCATAGCTTGCTAGAGCAAGGGACAAATTGTTTTTGAAAAATAGGAGAGAATCAAATCTCGTCAAACATTTTCTCTCTTCGTTAGACAAAATTGAAAAGTTGTCAAGCTCAATTCAGAAGCTTACTTAAATTGTTCAAATTGATGACAACTCTTACGAATTTCAAATGATCGGTTCGATAAATCTAAATATTTTTAAAAAAATGCCTTAAATTAAGAAGAATTTTTACGGAACATTACAAATGAAGAAAATGAATACAAACTTAGGTGAGTTTTATTACCAGATAAGCGTTCAATGTCATTCTAATTCTCGATGATTTTCGGAGAATGCTTTCCATTATTATAACACATATAAGATGATAGTTTTGAGAATGAGATAAATCATTTAATTTTCGAATTGTAATTACCATTTAACGGTAATATTAGTTGAATTTTTTTTTTGAAAATAACTGATTTATAGCACTTTCCAAACAAACGTCAAGCATATTCTTAACTTGAAATGTTTAATATCATTATGAATCATATTAATGAAGTTTTTCATGCAAAAGAAAATCGTGTATCGATAGAGAGACAAACCAGACATTCCGAACTTTCAAGAAAGTTAGAGTAAAGAGTAAAAAAAAAGCCATTTTCAGGCGTATATTGGAATTAATATACTAAAGGACAAGATTTAGTTGATTTTTAATATTAAAACTACGACGACAGTTACGATTTCGATCTCTAAATGAAAAAATAGTTAGATACCATTAAGTTGATTTCATATTAGATATGATTCCGTAAATAAAAACATAAGCAGTTCAAATGCAAAATCCCTCGACACAAATGCATAAATAAATTTCGCATTTAAGTTCGATTCCTGTTGTTCTTCAAAGCCTTCATTTGCTTTTTACCGTCAATACTGCTTGATCGGTCGGAGTGACACCAGTAAAAAATTGTGAAAAATTTTTTTCAAAACCTTCATCTTTGCTTCGTTTTCTCTCCATCCATATCGAAAGGATGATTACTTTCTTAAAATGCGGACAGAAATTTCATTTTTCACTTAATATTCAATACTTGATATTCTTGATAAACACAATATATATATGTATATAGTATATATAAGTCATGATTACGTTAATGTATTATCAACAAATAGAGTAACTTATCGGATTTACAATGCCTATGCCTGTCGAACTTATAATAAATATAATGCATTTCCAATTATCATTACAATTTTCCATCGACTCCGACTTTTGCAAATTTTCTTTTATATATAACTTCATTTATATAATTTAAAAAAATAAATACATAAATAAAACTTTTGGAATTTTTCTTTTCTAAAGATCGAACGCGAGAAAGCCGATCTCAGTGTCCAAGTCATTCAGATGTCTGAACGTCTTGAGGAGGCTGAAGGTGGTGCTGAACATCAAGTAAGTTGAAAAAATCAAAAAAATAAATTAATATTAAAAGATTTTTAAAATATTACTGAAATTTCTCTCTCTGTCTCTCTCTCTCTCCCTTTTCCTCTTCGTTGTATTGAATCACAAAAAAAAGTTTGAGGCTAATCGTAAACGTGACGCTGAATTGATAAAATTACGTAAAATGTTGGAAGATGTTCACTTGGAATCCGAAGAAACTGCCATGTTGCTTAAGAAGAAGCATAACGAAATTATATCCGATTTTCAAGAACAAGTTGAAATCCTAACAAAATCGAAGTCTAGGTAAGATTTGCTCAGAAAAAGCAGTAAACTCAAACGCAATGCTGCGCGTTAACCCTCAAGCCATGCACATTTACTTCATAAGAACTAATGTAAAAAGAAAAAAAACAAAAAAAGACGTAAAAAATTCAAGGTCATTCATTGTAAATATCGTAAACAAGCATCAAAAAAGAGTTTTCTTTTTCCTTTAATTTATTTTTGTTTTGAAAACACATTTTGGGTAATTTCGTGAAAAAGGAATAACTCCACTAAAGGTATTTTTCTCTCAGAAGTCTTATTCTTATCGACCAATCTGTCAATATGGCAGATTTTTATTGTTTTAACCAACTTATATAAACATGTATATCCAAATACCAAACACTTATGAATCAGTTTAGCTAATTTTCGAACCATTCCTTACTTAAAAGAACATCATTTCAAAAATATCGCATGTTCCCAGGTGAACAATAAAATAGGCGTACATACAAAAACTTGAAAATAACGCAAAATATTGGAGTCAAAGGTAATCATTTTTATTGAAATCAATTCAGACAATCAAATCGATAAACGGCATCACGACCATTGTTTTTAATTGCACCTTCAATTTTGGCAGACATGAATGGAATTAATTATCGCAGGTCTCTACTGCGATATTATATCATACTTTGTGAATATTTTTCCATAATACTTTTTTATTGCAAGAGGACGCATGACACTTTACATTCTCAATAGGATTGACCCCGTGAAAGCGATTTGGCGATTCAGTGACATCCGAGCTACCACCAAATTGGATGAATTTTTCAGATCATTATCCTCCTGAAATTGTCATAGGAATGGCTTTTTTTTCTTGGACATGCAGTAACATTACAGTTTCTGGTCAAATAAGTTTTTATACATAAGTCTATTCATAGTGTTTATCATGCATCAGACGAACAGCAGCCTCATACCATAAGATTTCCTCCGTCACGGTTCACTGTTTTTTTAGCAGATATAATTTGGATTTTTTTTTCTTTTGGCCGAACTGCATTTCTTCTCCCAGTATTTTCAGCAAATTTAGCTGTGGTTCATCGCTTCAATGTATATTTCTTCATTGTTTTGTTCTTCTTCTGGTCTGCACCAATTTCTATGATCTAAAGCAAACCGTTTCCTCTTCTCCAAATTGCCTGTTCTAAGCAAAGAAAATTTCCGAGCTTGAAAGAATTCCGCTTTGCTAGAATTAACATGCGATTATTGCTCCACCTTGTTAGGGAGTGCAACGATTTCGTGACGAAGCTATATGACCGGCCGTTCTTTTTCTTCACTACTGTGATATATTCGGTCAATGTAACATTGTTATAAAAATTAGTTCATAGTGAATCCCTTTACCTTTGTAAAAGACTTTACTTATCGCAACTGTCCAACTGAAAAAAAGCTACTAAAGCACACCTAAAACGCTTTCACCTTTCTACTGTAGGACCTAGTTTGCGTGGTATTGACCAGTTTTGTTAAACGTAAAAATGTTGTATAGCCTTTCTGGAGGCTACCTTTTGCAACTGAAAAATACACCTCGCACCTATTTTTTTGTCCATATATAACAAATGCGATGTGCGTTTGTAAATATTTAATAAATACCCCCCCGGGGGCGTAGAAAACCAGATAATAAACGAAATAACTCGCTATGATCTTGGGTGTGCGCATTTTAGCCTTCAAACAGTATAATATTTTTACGTTACTAATAAAAATTCCTACGCCGCCCAAATATTCAAAATAAAAACAACAAACAATTTTGAACAATTTTGAGTTTTCGAAACATCTTTAAAAGCTTTCGACACTCACGCAAAAGCTTCAAATTGCCGATGTTGCTAACGCAGGCTATATGAGAATTAATTGTATATTTTTAGTTTCAAACAAAACAAATAAAAAAAAAATAAAAAAAAAAAAAAACAACAAGTAAATTAAATAATTCAAAAAAAAAAAACTAAAAAAAAAATTGAAATTTTTACGGTTCTGAGTACTTTGCTATCCACATATAATTTTTAATCTTTTTTTATCTGTCATCTCTTAACGCGTGTATTTATGCATTCTTGCTTCTTCTCAAGTCCCAAATATGTCGTGAAAAACAAATATATTTTTTTTGTTGTTGTTGTTTTTGTTTCTTCTTTTAATAATTTATTATTGCTGTTATCTACCTCTCTTTTTGGCTAAAGCTCACCTTTATGGAAATTCGATATGTTAGCTTTTTCTCCACGTAGGAATTTTACACGCACATTTGCTCACCGTTGAATGAATTCAGTCTAATAAATATAATATATGTTAATGTATGAGAGCACATTTTATTTTCAAAATATACGCTACGCGGTTGTGTTTGATGTGTGTATATATGTGGATTGCATGTATTATGTGTGGAAAATCATTTTTAATTGCACTTAAAAACACCTACGCATCATTATGCTCTATTCGGCTCAGTTAAAGCTCTTTCGCTTAATTTTCACATAATTGCCGTTGTCAACTTATTTTCATTTTTGCACTCACTATCATTTGAGTACATATATAATAATGAATTTCTCATGGATAATTGCATGCGATTAATTGACAGCGAAAAGAAGTTAGATAATTGATTGATTCTTTTTCAAATTACTTTACTTAAAAAGCAAAAAACCCAACTATTCTCTCAAATATAAATTAACATATCAAATCTATGGGTGGATACATAAAATTGTAACGAAGCATGGATAAATTGCAGAAGCGAAATGCTTGAAAATCGTTTACGGATATGTATTGAGGTTATGAGCGAGCGATCTTCGCACTCGTCAATTCTTGTCCATGATCCTTTTTAGAGTCTCGATTTTATTGCTACAAGGACTATTTGCACTCACGCGTTGCGGACATACATCATCTTAACCGAATCCATATTAACTCTATAGCTTTAGGCAATGCAACAAATAACAGTTTCGACTTCATTCGCTGATTTTAAGATAGAAGAGGGAAAGAGTTCCAGCTCTTTGCATTTTTGGATACATTTTATACTTATACTGAATGTATTAAGCCATGTGTGCATGCCGATCGGTTAAGAGAATACAAAAGCTATAGCCTTCGTGTCTCCAGCAAATTTTAGACACTTTAAGCATAAAAACGGATTCGATTATACCAGTAGCTAAGGAAAAGTCTTCGATCCATTTCCTAGTAATTACTTGTTTGTTGTCTTTCCTTTCAAGCCATACCAGTAGATCAGATTATATTTTAGGTAAAAAAAATTTCCATAATATATGTATGTAACAATTCCAAGCATTTGAAACTATTATTAAATACTTTACACCACCCACAGGTATTCATGTGATGACTTTTTGAAAAGGTAGTCCTTGGTCCTTGGGTCAAAACATGCCAATGTCAAAATATGTCAAAAATTACCTATATATGCCTGCAAAAGATGAATTTATCTCAAGTCATTCTGGGCGTTGCATGCATCCGCACAAATCTAATATATCCCTCTCTCACAATTGGTGTAGGATATATAAATAATGCTGATCATTACGTATTAAATTAAATTTAACTTAACTACCTTACTCCTTCTGTTTATCTCTGGTCTTGCGATAAGTTTGTTTTCCGACTGAAATGCTTAATAACTCTAGCATTCTTTTTACAAATCTTATGACCATTTATTAAAATGTTATTTGTCTTTCCCAGCTTTTATGGCACCGTTTTCAAAAAAAACAAAAAAAGGAAAAAAAAAAGTCATAGCAAATATGAATGAGTTAAGAAAATGTCGGCAACTTTTTAATTTTTATATCATGTGATTATTTGTTATTCTATCAGCTTAATGCTAGTTTCTTGTTCAGTCTTCCTCATGCTACTTTCAATCTCGTATGCCAGCTTTATTGTCTTACAAAATAAATCATGAGATTATTATTTGAAAGCTTTGCAAGCGGAAAACAATCTATTCTAAATAAAAACATTGTTTTAGATACGAAAAACGTCCACTAGATAATTAGTTAATTACGCCGATTTCTCTTAATTGACATTAGTAGTGGCAGTAAATTTCTCCGATTACTAATAAGCACTATTGATAAGCTAAGGAAATGGTTTTCTTCAGTTGCTTTAATCACTAAAGTTTGTCAATCATTACTGTTATGCACAGTGTGTCAACGCGACTTGACAATATACGCCATTTGCAACTTGAAGTTTATCGAACATTGTTTGGTGCATTTAATTTGCAAAAGACTTTTAGTTTTATTTCCTTTGCGATTTTAATAAAATGTTGTCGCTAGATTGGTGCTAGATTTATTTGAGCATTCTTTATGAGCGTTAATAATTATCATCACATATGTTATTTTCATTCCTGCATATATGAAAAAATTTTTAATCAAAAAAACAAAATCTTAAGTAACTTTCAGCAGCACCTTTCCAGTGGACCGTCCCTGAAAAGTCAGAAGCTTTATTAAGTATAACGCTTACTAAACGCTAAGTATTCACCATTTTTGTTTATATGCTTTTTCAACTTCAACTATTGGCTTTCTTTTAGCGATATTTTATTTTTTTATTTATTCATTATATTCATGTTCTCTTCTCTCTCTCTCTCTCTCTCTCTCTCTCTCTCTAATATTGAATTTTATTTTGATCATAGAGCCGAAAAAGAGAAATCGAAATTCCAGGCTGAAATTTACGAGTTGCTCAGTCAAATCGAATCATATAATAAAGAGAAATTGATGTCTAGTAAAACTATTGAAAGATTGGAAATTACAATAACTGAATTGAATATTAAGATTGAAGAGCTAAATCGTACCGTTATTGATATTACCTCGCACAAGACTCGGCTTTCGCAAGAAAACATTGAACTGATCAAGGACGTCCAAGATCTCAAATCGCAATTGGACACTGTCTCATTTTCCAAGAGCCAGGTCATCTCCCAATTGGAAGATGCTCGTCGCCGTTTGGAAGATGAAGACCGTCGTCGTTCGATGTTGGAATCTTCGCTTCATCAAGTTGAGAGCGAATTAGAATCGATTCGCATTCAACTCGAAGAAGAGTCGGAAGCCCGTATTGACTTGGAACGTCAGTTAGTCAAGGCCAATGCCGATGCCACTTCTTGGCAAAATAAATATCTTGCCGAAGCGGCTGCCCGTGCTGAGGAGTGCGAGGAAATCCGTCGTAAATATCAGGTGCGCATCACCGAACTGGAAGAACACGTTGAAGTTTTAATTGTTAAAATTAACAATTTGGAGAAACAAAAGACTCGCTTACAAAGCGAAGTAGAAGTATTGATCATTGACTTGGAGAAATCGAACAATAGTTGCCGCGAATTGCAAAAATCTGTAACTATCTTGGAGAAGCATAATATCGAGCTTAAGACGCGCCTAGATGAGACCATAATTCTATTCGAGAACAGTCAACGCGATTTGAAGAACAAACAGGCTGACTTGCAACGTGCCATTCATGAATTGGAGAAGGTTAAGGATGCCAACAATCAATTGGCGCGAGAGAACAAAAAAATGGGAGGTAAATTATCAATTGCGAACAAAAAAAACAACAACAACAACAATAATAACAATTAAATTTTCAATTTCTGTTTAGATGATCTACATGACGCTAAGGCTGCACTTAACGAAATGAATCGTCGTTTGCATGAAATGGAATTAGAATTGCGTCGTTTGGAAAATGAACGCGAAGAATTGACTGCCGCCTACAAGGAGGCTGAGGCTGTAAGTAATGGATAATTTTTTTATTTTTTCAAGATTATATTTTCAAATAAAATTTTACTTGATTTTACAGGGTCGCAAGGCCGAGGAGCAACGTGCTCAACGTGTATCTGCCGACTTTAATCAGTATCGTCATGATGCCGAACGTCGTCTTACCGAGAAGGACGAAGAAATTGAATGTATTCGGTAAGTAGGAACTTTTCACATATTTGAGTTTTCGAAAACGTCAATCAATTTGGAAATTTATTAAAGAAAAAAAAAAAACAAAATCTTGAGATCCTTTTCAAGACTCTCCCTTCCGCACCTTGTCTAAAACATTTATTAAATCTTTGTCACGTATTCAAAAGTTATTTCAAAAAAAAAAAAAAGAAGAAGAAAAGAAGAAGAAAATTCAAATCTGTAAACGTATCAAGTGATGATGAAATACAAAAATTAAGAAAAGAGAAAAAACATTAAAAATAGTTTAAATATTGGAAGTAAAAGTTCATTGCATTACTTATTGGCACTTAAACACAATAAACGATTGATTTGATTAGGGAAAAAGCAACATCATTGCCGCGTCACAATGAAAAGAACATAACGAACAACAATGCAAGAGCATTTATTTATACTGACACTTAGCTAACTTGTGTGGTTTGCATCCAAGATAAATTGTGACAAAACTTTAATGATTGACTTTTTTTTTCTTTTTTTTTTTTTTTTGATTTTAAGAGAGATATTAAATCTTTGCGAAACGGATGGATGGGTTCGGCGAGTGCAAAAACAAAACCAACAAAAAAACAAAGGCAGGCAGAGTTAGAGGATGCGATTGCAAGCGAATATGCGTAAATATTTTTATTTTAGAATTGCATCGGTAATGAAATTGTTTTCTATTTTTCGCGATCGATCAGAATGCGCTTGTTTGTCAATCTGTTTGCCATCCCTGTCATAGAATGGGGAGTATTTACAGATTTTTCAATATCCTATATTTGCACTTTAGACTGCACATAGATCTGGTTTAGTGATATGATAGTTTCGGTTAGAATCAGAGAATAAATCAATCTTCACTTATGAAAATCATCATCTTAGCCATTGGCAACATCCAAACGGTCTACGAATTACGATTATTTACCTCTTTTATAGTAAGTAAGTAAGTCTTTGAAGAGAAACGATTTCCTCTAATACTGGCTTAGCTACCTTACAAGCTACAGTTGCTGCTGCGTCTCAACCGCTTGTCACTTTATTCCCCATTAATATCATTTGCTATGAACTACTATGTACGTTTGTATGACATACGTAGCACAAATATTAGTTCTTGTCAATGAAGTTAAGATGGCCTAAATAGTTTTTAATAACAACTTTACAATAACTCTTTGCCGAACAGAAGCGATCAAAGATTATATCTTCGAGTGAACTGTTTAAATTTTCCCGTTTAAAAACAGCCCATTCCCGAGCTTCGTTTTCAGTAAAGCAATTTCTTCCCTGGATTGCTTTGTTTCGTTGTCTCTCAAACGTACACAATCTATGCAATCCTGGGCGACGGCGAGTTGCCGAGTGCCGCTGCAGTATTCACGTCTCTTATTGTAAACTTTATGTCTTCTTAAGACGTCGACGTTTTGATACGTTGGTAAACATGCGCCTAAGAGAATTTTTTCACAAAACTTGCAATTATTCGCTTATCGAGACTACGTTTTAATAGCCGGCAAACGTTGCTTAAGTGAACTGAATTGAACAGTCGACAAATAAATGTGACGACCTAAACTTAAACAAAAAGGCCAATGCAAAACGCGTTCATAAACAGGATTCTCTAGTAAGGGGTATAAGGCATCCATTGTTGCGAACGTGAACAAAATGAGCATTTGCCATAAGGGAAGCATCGTTAGGCTGTTATAATGAAAGTAATGCGAGAGTTGTCTGATAAGCGATCGCTGGGAAGATAAATATAAAGAGCATTCACGTTCGCATATATCGCATGTATAAAAATTTCAAGGACAAATCGTCAATTTTCAACCATCACTTCCTTATCGTGCGGTCAGTGCTTATCACGTTTTTCTCCTACAAGTTTTATTGGCAATTATTTTTTTTATTTTTATTTTTTTTTATTTTTTTATTGAACGAATTCAAAAAATAAGCGAAAAAGAAAAACCAACGTTAAAAATGATGAAACGATTGCCAGTCTTTTTGATATTGTTACTGCAGCAGGAAGTATAACAACTTGAATTTTTTGAAATTGTTTTGAATGAGAACGCTTCAGACAAAAAAAAAAAAAAAAGGATAAAAAAAATAAATAAATAAACCACAGATATATACATACATATTCGGGAAGAATTTTTTTCAAAGATCTTCAGTACTTGAAAAACTGGAAGAAAAGCTATATGAAATAGGGAGAAGGAATTAATTTAGCGATTACACAACGCCACCGTCAGCATAACGCGCTTAATAAAGAAAATCAACAAACTTAACTGGAAACTTCATTGAAATTCCAGGTTAGTGTCACATGACCAGAAGAGATCAGAAAAGCCAAGCATACGAGTCAATGTTTATTTAAAAGAAAAAAAAAAAAAACGAAAAATTCACTTTCACATAAATAAATATAAACTAAACTAGACGGACGATAAATTATGATTGGAATTTTTAAATGGTTTGAATCTTGCAATTCACAAAAAAAAAAAAAAAAAAAAAAAAAAAATGCTCTTTACCTTCTAATTAAGTCCATTAAACAAACATTGACCAATGCTTGGCTCAACGTGTGTGTAAATGAATGATGACGATTAGAATGACAGTGATGCGAATGATGCTGATCATCATGATGAATTCTTTTTATAGATCATTATTTGCAAGAAAAGTGAAAAAACGAGAAAAAACAGATAGGAAAAGAAAAATAACCGCATACTGCCAACAATATTGATCCGCCACAGACGACAACAATCGTGGTAGCAGACCCCAAGTGCTTGCCTAAATGCTGAAGAATAGAATCGCAACAACAATAATCAAAAAATCAGCTGCCCCTTTATAAAAGCATATATTGGTCTTCAATTGCTGCAGCTAAACCACGACACAAACGACAATTGTAGCAAAAAGACACGAGTGTTTTTTTTATTTCTTTTCTCTCTACTTTTTTTGTTTCTTGTAGCTTTTAAGCAAACGAAATTGTATTGAATTGTATTAGCATATATAGAGAAACTCATACGCACGCACATACACACATACACATCTATATATACAAATATATATACATATAATAATATTCACCCTATCTACCTATTATACCTTAGCATATATATATATATATATATTGCTTAAACAATACTAATACAAAGATGGCGCTTACCTATTGTACACGATCGCCTCGCGTACGCCACATGCTACAATCAACCTATGATGACAACTATGGCTACACTATGAATTTCTATCAGCCCATGCTCGACTACTTAGATGCAAAGGCCCAACGTTTGCAGGTAGTACCGCCACATTTGCCGTGGACCAGCGAACGTGGCCTCAAGCAATATCGACCCTCGAATGTCATTCGCCAGTACAAAACTGACGATTTACTTAGACTATCGCGTGCGGCGGCAGCTAGGGCCGATGAGATTTTATTAGATTTTCGCGTTAAAAAACGTTCGCCATTCAGTGTGCAAAAGCTTGTTGACGCAGCGCGTGTTACCAAACATATTGCCCCGGATACGGTTGTAGAAAGACAACGCGAACGTCGTCGCCGCCGTCAAAGAGAATTAGAGGATCAAATTCAACAAGACATTACTAAGCTATTATTTCGCATTAAAAAAATGGAACTGGAATCTGGAGAAATGACCAAAGAATTTAAACGTCAAATACGCGGTAAATCGGCCACCGCCATTGCCCAGGCGCTCCTTTCCGAATCTGAGCGTAATATAAAAAATTCGAAACGGGAAGAGGAGGAATATATGTCCCAAGCTATGATACGTTCAAGCCGTGCGGCTTCGCGTTTACGTTCGGTTTCTCCTGAAGGTGGCCGCGTCTCCACCCATACTTTGCATATCGAATTAATGGACGATCGTTTGGTCGATAATCTCGATCATCGCGTATCCTCCTCCCTGCACAACGTCAAACGACAATTGTCCTCGTTGAATCAGAAAACCGTTGAATTCTATGCCGATTCCAGGTGCGATACTGTTGATAAATGTTGGATATGTCGTAAGGTTATGCGTAATCATCCTAAATTAAAGGATTACAGTTATATCTATTGGCAATAGAAACAAAAAAAAAAAAAAAAAAAAAAAAAACCAAAAACCAAAAACAAAATATAAATATATAAAGTCAGAAAATTGCAGGGTTACGGGTTCACTTCTAGTAGACGGTTGGAAAAGAAAAACAAAAAAACAAAAAAAAAAAAAAACAGTGGTTGGGCTGTGACTCGTATGCATTAGTTTTTGCTCATACCTAGAAGTAGGTGCCAACGTTTTTTACCGTATGTTGCCAAAAATGTAACAAAAATTTATCTAAGCGAACGGATGAGAATATCGTGTGTTAAACTATCCACAAAATTACCTGAAACTATCCCAAAATGACATAATCATGAACAACACGACCAACACATAAGGAACACAAACATAAATAACAACGACACTTGTTCAACTCTTCATTTATCAAAAACAAAAAAAAAAAAATGAAAAATTTAATAATAATTTTCGCCAAAAAAAAAAAAAAAAAATTCACTTTTTTCCTTCACAGTTTTGCCAAATTCATTGAATAAGGCTCAATTTGGAAAGGAGGTGGGGGTCAAATTTTGTCATTAGCCAGAAATAGCAAACCTTTGTCCCCTTGAATAATATTAAGTATAAACGATTTAATTGTAGAATCGTTAACAAATAACAAATAACTCATTATTAATTTGCTTGAGGTAGAAGAACGAAAATTCGCTTATCGCCTTTATTTTTTTTTTTTTTTAATTTTTAAAACTAATACAATAATTGTTTACTTGATTTCAATTATTTAAGGCATTTCCGTAAAGAATTTTTGAAAAAAATATTTCTTTCTCTTCTTTTTTCATTATTAAAATTTTTTAAAAACGTATTAAAAGCTTATAGATAATGTTTATAAAAAATTTTATTAAGAAAATAAAAAAAAAAAAAGAAAAGAAAAAGAACAAGAAAGAAATAATGTTCAGAAAATTCTTTGAAAAAATGATTTTCCCAAACATTTTTTCCAAAAATTCTTTTATTCGGAAA